ATATTTATGTTTGTGGTTGTAATGTGACAAAATATGGAAAAGTTCAAGGGGTATGAATACTTTTGCAAACCACTGTATATAAAATATTGTTTAGGATAAATGTTTAGCTTTAAACCCTGATAAAATGCAGTTTACATCAAATGTATTGTTTCTAATCTCTCCATTTTGACTTTCTTGGTCAGAATCTAACAGCAGATGGAAGTTTGAGGTTGCTGATCCTTCCCAGTGTTCACATCAGCAGTTTGGAGGTGTTGTCAGAGCTCATTACAGAGTGAGTAAACACACAGGATGTCCTAATGGCTTCTAGGGCTGGTGAGAAAAAATCTGCTCTACAGAAATTAATGAGGATATATCCTGCAAAACCCTCTATTTCAGCTGGTAAATACATTTAGTTGTGGACTTGGAGTCCGTAGGAGGCAGAAAAGTTGAGTTTAGTCCCTGCTGGTGCTGCAGAGATGTCTTTATATTCTGTTTGAGTCAGATTTTGAACCTGTTCAGTTTTCTCTATTTTTCATGGTTTTTCTGAACTATGTTGTCAAAGTATTTGTGACACAACTGCTAAATAAGGTCTGGCCTTACCAACTACAATTTGCGGATCTTCCATCTTCTCTGGTTCTGGGTCAGATTCTGGTTCTGGCTCAGACTCTGGCTCCAACATGTAAGGCTGGATGGACAGGTCTTCTCTTGTTGACATCTTTTAATTCATTTGTAAATAAAAAGTTTCTGCTCAGCTGTATAGTATCAAACTAGAACTAGAATGAACCGCTTTAGAAGCTGGAGGGGGCGGGGCAGGAAGATCCTTGTTTGGATTTAAAGAGGCAGCATCAAAACGAGTTGATCTGAGACACATCTCAGAAAAGGGGCGGGGCTTACAATAAGGAAGAATTCAGAGCAAAGCATTGCAAATGAGTGATTTAAATGTGCAAAAGAAGGATGTCTCCTTCCAAGTTAACACTGTATATACTCAAGTGTCTTCAGACTGAAATGCAAAAGTTCATTTCAAAACAAAATCTTTGATCTAGAAATTGTTTAYTTTTAGGATAGGGCTGTTTGGGTTATGGGCAGCAAAGTATGTGTGTTCAATTCTAAGAATGTCTAATGTTCTGTGTTAAAGCTAGGATATAAATTTCCCCATCAAACATTTTTTAAGCCACTTCAGTAGAAAGCAGAACTGAATATTAGTTTCTTAGGTTATTCATCATCAGTGACTTTTTTCATAAAGACGAAAAAGAAAGAGAAGAAAAAAAAAAGTTAAATGTAATGGGAAAGAGTGATAGAGAGATCTGGCGGTGGCGGAGTGGTTAGGGGAGTTGTCCGGGAACCGGAAGGTCGCTGGTTCGGTCCCCCGTCCAGCCGTCTCAGTCGTTGTGTCCTTGGGCAAGACACTTCACCCACCTTGCCTACTGATGGTGGTCAGAGGGTCCGGTGGCGCCGATGCATGGCAGCC